CCCAGCCCGGCCCCCGCACGCCCGCTCGCCCGCTCGCCTCGGGAAGGTCCGGCCCGAAGCGCTGCCGCCGCCGCCCAGGCGCTCCCCAGCCCGAGGCAGGGGTTAAAGGCTGTCTGCGGTGCTGACAGAAGACCCGGCCGTGTTAGGGACGGGAGCAGATGCCTGGGGAGCGTCACCAGCTCGGTGTCACTCAGCCACACAACAAAGCGAGGGGCCTCGGCCGCCGTCAGCGACCTGAAGCCGCTTCTCGCAGGGGGGCCCCGCTCTCGCAGGGCGCTTGGAGAAGCGATATTGGAAAGAGCAGCAAGTTCCAGGGGCTCCCCCACTACCGAAGAGCAGGAGTCGAAAGGGAGCCGCCACAGCTCTCCCCTAACTCTTGAACCTGGCAGGGTGCAAAGGACAGCCACAAATTAAGCCCACAAACAGACTCCAACTATATGTAAATTTTTCAGGAAGGCTATATTGGCTTTTAAAACTACTGAAAATGTGATTCATAATTTAAGAAGTCTTTTTTTTTTTCTTTTTTCTTCTGCTAGCAACACATTTTCTTTATCTGAAACACAGCAACCTCTGGGTTCAAGCAGCTGAGGGCTCTCCTTCATCTGCAGCAGGGTTTGGATTCTTTGCATTCAGGCAGGCAGGCTCTGCCAGAGCCAGAGCTTTCCTAGATTCAAAGAACTGTCAGTAATTTCTCCAACCAAAAGGAGAAATTTTGAGAGTTCCCACTTGACACAGATGAAAATGAATCATATTTTTATTTTAATTACCGGTGGTATTTCTGCTACAATACCCAGGAGAAACACAAACTAAGGAAGTCCAAACAGGAAAATGTGTATGGTCATACTGCTCTGCCATCCTTCCTCCCATACTAACCCTGCACCAGGATTCAAACTGGTCCTTGGCCTTTACACAGTAACATGAGACAAAAATAAAATGATCCAAACTAACAAAAAATCCTCCGCAAAACTGAAAATTCCCCACACCTACACACATCTATGCCTTCCTTTTTTTCAAACCCCTCTTGATGAATTGTTACCCTGGAGAACTCCAGTTCTGTATTGTAACCCAGGAATTACAGCAGCCTTGCTGTCTGACATGGGCCTGTCCCTCAGCTACATTACTCCATTTCTTTCTCTAGAAAATTCCCTTGTGCAGCCCTAAATCTTTATACAATCCCATGCCAACAGCTTTGTTTTGGTTGCATTTTCCATTTCATCAGCTTCCTATGGACAAGCGGGAACTTCTTCCAAGTCTTGGTTATCATACTCACACACAATACTAAGGCTAAGTACTGGCATAGTAGTGGTGTATGACAGCACACCCGTTACCATACAGAAAGTTTCCTGTATATGTATGACTTCCATTATGCTTTTTTTTTCCATGTTTTTACCTAAGTCATCTCCTTCCAGAGAGCAAGTCACGAGGTCAGCAACACTTAGTACTGAACATATGTCCCCTTCAAGGAGCTTCTCCCTTTCTTTTGGTTGGGCTACCAGCTCAAACCAGCTTCACTCTTTAGAGATATTCATCTCCCCTCCATTGTAAACAAACACAGAAAACTTTGGTAATTGTGCTGCTTCAGAAAAGTCCTTGCTTTTATTAAGTGGGGGAAAAAATCCAAAACAAGACCTGATTAATAGCTTAATGGTCTGCCTACTGGAATTGAAAATTTTCCTCTGTCTCCAAAATGCACTCTGTCTAGCAAATGTCATCAGCTCTACCCTCTACTTGAAGTGATTAGAACATAATTGCTAATATTTCAAGTACTTTGCTTTGCTTAATCTACTCTCAACTCTTACTTCAACAATTTCATCAAAGCCACAGAAAGAACCCTTTTATGAGCATGAAGAATAATTTCTCATCCAATTTCTCATCATCACAGCAAATTATAAGGTAGATCCCTTAAGGCTAAAAGAACAATAGGAATAGTGGAAGAAAAAGCTAAGTAATAATTGATATACTATTTTTGTTTAAGTAAGCAGTAACTAAGATCTGTGGACAAACTCAAAGTAAGCTATTCCATAACTACGTTCTGAAAAACACAGAAGAGACCAGCACAGAATCTGGAACATTTGGCAGCACATCTAGAATTAAGGAAACACGACTGTCCTGGTTTTGGCTGGGATAGAGTTAATTTCCTTCTTAGCAGCTGGTTCAGTGCTGTGTTTTGGATTTACTTATGAGAATCATGTTGACAACACACTGTTGTTTTGGTTGTTGCTAAGTGGTGCTTACCCATAGTCAAGGACTTTTCAGTTTCCCATGCTCTGTCAGTGAGAGGCTGCACAAGGAGCTGGGGGAGCATGGCCAGGACAGCTGACCCGGACAGGCCAAAGGGATATCCCACAGCATGGGAGGGCACACTCGGGACAGGAACTGGGAGAGTCGGCTGGGAGGGGCCGATCACTGCTTGGGGATGGGCTGGGCATCCATCAGCAGGTGGTGAGCAGTGTATTGTACATCACTTGTTTCTCCTGGACTACATTCCTTTCTCTTTCCTCTTCATTACAATTATAATAATTTATTACTACTATATTTTATTTTGTTTTAATTATTAAATTGTTTTCATCTCAACTCATGGGGTTTAATTTTTCCCCCCAATTCTCCGCCCCACTGAGTGGGGCGAGGGAAGGGCTGGAGTGTACAAGCTGCTCTACTTAGTTGCCAGCTGGGGTCAAACGATGGCAACAACTTAAAACCTAAAGTAACATATGGAATTGCACTATGCAACAGCCATTACTATTCTTGGTAATGAATGGGGTATGACCTGTAAACCAGACAACTTAAACCTTCCACAGCCTGAGACCCACCAGTCCTTAGATGTCTTTGTGCCCTTGTGCAAAACAATAGGCCAAGATCCCAAATATGAACATCTCAGATACCTATCAAATATCCATTACTAAAGCCAGGCTCCTGAGAACTGAAGTATATTACTTTGGATATCTTAGGCAGCAGACTGTTCAAAGCAACCTTCTACAATACAGTAAAATAGGTGAGGCAAGGAAAGAAGTACACAAGGGAAATTTGAGTAAACCAGCAGCCTGAAAACAGGCAAGACCACTCAAAATCTTCAATTAAGGAAAAAGAAGGTAGTGTCATCATGAAATGTCTGTAAGAAAATGAGAATAACATTGCACAGGAAACAAAGGAAGACAGACATGGCAACTGCAGGCTGTTGAGCTACACCTCAGATATCTGCAACTGAGGTGCTGTGAAAGTTGGCCTCGTGTTTCAGTTATTAAAGCACTTTAGCTAAATATGACCTCAGTTTAATAGCAGACTACATCAGCATTTTAAACCTTTTCTGGGATATAAGAACAAAAACATTTTGCACAAAACCACATTATTTAACTTTAATGAGACTTATTTTTAATACCTTTATATGCATGGTCCAACACTTGGGGCTTATCTCACTGTCAGTGGTAGAGAGTGCATGTTCACAAATAATTCTTAAGAACTACTTAGACAGAACAATCTGTTTAAAAGTTAAAATGGATTCTGTCCAAACTGTAAGAGATTGTACTACAGCTATAGATGAGAGTGAACAGGTAAAATCAGTGTGTACATGTATATGTATGTACCATTCTGTGGGTCTGTGCACTGCAGCAGAAACCAAGGAGGAAAAAGGCTTCTGGCTCACTCAGAGATGTCAGCATGGAAGATAAAACCAGTGTCAGCTCTGTACAGAGTGGCAGCAGCACACTGTCAGGGCAGTAGTCAGAATGGGAGAGAGACTTTTCTTTAAATAAAAGAGCAACACCCTTACAGCTTTCCAGAAGAGAAAGGTCTGACCAGCCAAAGGCTGACACCTACACTTGTGTCTACTCTCTTCAGGCCTGATGACACACAGGCCAGCAGAATACATGACACAAATTAGTTGTGTTGCATTTGTCAGTGACAGCAACTTTTATTGTCTTTACAATACAAGATAATACAAACTATTAAAAAGTAATTTTGTTTGGTATTTAATAGATTGAAAATATAAATGCATCTTTGGATTAAACAAGAGGGAGTAGACAAAAACTAATGACAAGTCCTGTTCCAATCCCCCCTCTCCACTTATGCTGGAATCTATACTATGTTAGAAGGCCTTTTTTACTACACTTTCCCATTACTACCAGGATTGAACCAGTTTTATGTTGTGGTTAAAAAACCCCATAATTTCAAATAGCCCAATTTTACAATTTTGAGCTTTTATACACATGCAATTTTTCTTTACAAAAAGTTAAAATGTAACTGTATCAGTTTCCTTCAAAAAGTTAAAATGTAACTGTATCAGTTTCCTTTTATCATTTGAATCATTCCTTTATAAGTAGTTTCAGGTAAGACATGACATCAATTGCAGATGACCAAACCAGAACAGAACACTGTACAGGACTGAGACTTTGGGCCAGTTGAGAAATCTTTTTCTCCAAGGTATACCCCTGCCTGGGCATAGCAATATCATTCTTCTTCAAAAACATTACTGGACATAAGTCATTCCCACCATCACCTATATATACAATTTGTGTATAACTCACTCCTTGCTCCAACTGTTTATCTAGAAATTCTTTTAAAACTTTCCTTTTGCAAAGGTTTTTAGGGCACTTTGCACAATGGTGAGCATGGAAGTGCTGTACGGTAAGATAGCCAGTACTGCTGAATGCTGCAGGGTTTGTAAAGACTTCATCAAATACTTTATGGAAGCCAGCAGCTTTCAAAATCCAGTCAATAAATACTGTATTAGAATCTGAAACAATTATACAATCAAACAACTCCTTGTTCTCGCCAATAAATCCCAGAAGATCTATCATTCCCGCAGTGAAAGGAATTGCTGTCATAGTTCTTTTCATCTCATCTTCTTTGACACCACTGTCTCCCAAGTAGAGAAAGACTCTGCTCATATATTCTGTCCAATGTCCTGGCTGGTAAGAGCTTCTTAATCCATTAGGAAGTTTTCTTTCAGGAGCACATTTCACAATCCAGGTGTCGCTATTTTCATCTATGATTGTATGGTCAAAATCAAAAACCAACAGAAATTTCATAGCTGTGAGAAAACAGTTTCCAAAACAAACAAAAAAGAAAATTATTTATATAAGCACAAGTACTATATTCCTACCCCCTGGTGCTCAGAAGAGAAAAAATTTGTAAGAAAATATCCGAATCAAATAAACTATTTATGGCCACTACTGCAATGGGAAGCTGTACTGTAGCTAAAAATATGCAATTTTTAAATGCCAAAGTTCAGGATCCAACTTCTGTTAAAAATAGTTACTGTGACAGTATCTAAACTCATGCTGCAGTTACTAATATTTGCTAACACGGCACCAATCTTCCTGTATGCACACACCGCCAGTTTCAGCAGACACTAATTTCTCCATCAGCATTCGCCAATGCAACCAAATCGCGATTCTCCTGGCAAAACGCCACAATAGGTATTTCAAAAGGAAACGTCCACCGAAGACACGGAGCCTTCAACGAGGCCGCACTAAATCAAAGCAGTCAACGAAACGAAATGCAGCCATTTGTGAAGCTGAATCTGCCGACTCCTCCCGGGCAGGTCAGCCCCGCTTCGGGCCCTGCAGCCAGTGCCGCAGACAGCAGAGCAGCCTCGGCGGCCGGGCCGTATCCACGGGGGCAGCGCCCGGGGCCNCTGGACGGCGGCGGGGCGGCGCCCGTGAGTGCGGCTGCCCCGGGGGCAGCGGGACCCGGCGGGAGGGCAGTGGCGAGCCCGCGGCCGCAAGGTTCCGGGAGGCTGTAGCAGTGCCCAGCGTGACTCTCCCCAGAGCTCCCCCAGCTGCAGACGGCAAGAGGGGCTGTTTCTCCCTAGTAAATGAGTGGAGAGAACTGACCTGAACGCAGCGCAGGTCCAGTAACCTCCAAGGGCAGCAGCTGGGGAAGAACGAGGGTCTTGGCAGATTCCTGCCTGCAGGGCGCAGCCGCATCAGTGCGCCTTTACTTCTGGTGAAGCTGTCTTCACCTAGGACAGAGGGAGAGGATCAGGTCTGATCCCTGCTGGGAGACTGGTCAGCAACGGCATCTGGACAACAGATTTTGACACTGGTGTCGCTCTAAGAGAAAGCCTCCTTACTTTTCAGACACGGCCTGTCAGTATGCTGCAAATCACACAATTTCTACAGAACGCCATTCTGTACAGAGAGCCAGTCCCTTCAAAAATGGTGGCAACACTTGAAAGAGCATTTCACAAAACCTAGATGTCAACTAGAAAAGCTGCATTTATGCCTGCACACCTGTATGTAAGCCTAATGCAACAAAAAATTCTAGTCTTGCCAACAAATCAAAAACTGTTCTACAACAGAACTGTTTCAGTAAATACAATGAGTATACAGGACACGGTAATAAGGTAGTCTGTGCTCAAACTGCTGCCTCATCCCGCCAGCGGAATGGCTTTACCAATATTCTCCTTTTCATTTTGGGAATGGTCTCTGCTTCCTGCTGTTCTAAGAATCATGCCCAAGTACTGCCTGGGAAGTGTGTTACTATAAGCCAAACCCACACATACAGGCAAACAGGCAAGGGCACATATGAACAGTCCAGTCAGTCAGTGCCTGTCCAAGTACATGCACTGGTCATAGGTAGATTACAGATACAGACACCCTGTCTTAGCTCTGGGGTTTGGGCAGTAACTAATACTAAGGATAACTTAGTATTGTTACCATGCAAGCATTCAAATCCTGATATATGTTTGATTATTGGATTTTCTGGTATCGAGTAACCTTTGTATTTTTTCTTCCCTCTGCACAGCACATCATTTGAAAGAAAAGGATGTTCTAGGTAAGTGTTTCCTTCCAAATGAAGCAGATCTTCGTCAGGTCATTATATTTCCAAAAGCAGAATGGGAAAGGATTCAGGGTAGCGCTAGAGAAGCAGCACACATCGATGAGAAGAAGGAACAGGAAGGAGTGCACCTGGACTCCAAAGCTGCTGGAAAAGATGCCACTCTGGTAAGTACAAGATACATTTGTAACAAGGGCAGTCGATTTTGCACATACAAAACCACACAGAGTAATATTTCTATCTGTATTCCCTTTGTTTAACATTTACTTTTGAATATGTATTTCAGCTGCCATATAAATACATTTAACTTCTAACATAAACATTTATTTTTTTTAACTTAAAGCTAAAATGCATAGCAAAAGACCAAAAAACTTTGGATTTAAGTGTGATTTCTAATTTTGTCTGCACTGTAGAGCCTGATAAAACAGAAACTTCAAGCCAAAAAATTACGTGAAGAAAAGGAAGAGGAAGAAAGAAAGTTACTTGATTTGGAAGAAGCAAAGTTCCAAGCAGCAAAACGGAAGGAGATTATCGATCGTGTAAAAACCTACCTACGTTACCAGGACGAAAGAATGAGACAGTTCCATGTTTGTTGACAACTTATATTTTTTACATTGAAACTGTACTGAATGTCTTTAAAGACTTCTGAACATGAAAATGACTTTAAATGTTCTCTTGCAGAGTGCACTTCTACTTACTAAGGTCCTAAAAGAAAGAGATGCTCAAATTGAATTTCAAAAGTCAAGATTAGTTGATAACAGAAAGAGGGATTATGAGGAAGAGCAACGTCAATTTAAAGAATACATTCTCAGCAAGCAGGAAAAAGCACGTCAGCAATATATGAAACAACAGGCACTGTGCAAAGACAGGCTAGAACAGTAAGTAATAATTAAAAGCAACTCTACTTCATTATTTACTTAAACTCTTCTCAAAATACATTCCATGAGGTTTTTACAGAAACTTATTAATAATTTGTTTCAGAAATGCCATCCTTTTAAAAGAAGATCTTCCCCAAAAGGGAAAAGCTACATGTTTTTAGTTGCCAACAGTCTACATGCAAAATTGCCTCTGGGAAGAATCAGGTTTTAGTCAAATCACTATTCAAATGTTGTTAATGAAATTACTCAGTACTTTACTTAGTGTTTGTTCCAGACAAGGAAAAGGTTAAATTAGATTTTCCATTTACCCATAATGAGTTTCCAGACTGCACAACAAGAGAAGGCATTACTGTCACTTCTATTCCTTCTCTCAGGTTTTCCATAAATCTTATGGAAGGGTCCCCAGTGGTATTTATTGGACTGGCCCTGGTGGTCTGATAAAAGGAATCAAATTTCCCAAGGCAGAGGAAGGGTTCAAAGTCTGGTCTCACATATTCCAGGCACAACATATAGATCCTTGCAGAACTTGGTATAGAATACTACCAGCTTAAGCTGCTGCCTGCATGCCCAGAAGAAACACAGGTATGGTGGATAATATTGGGGAAAGCTTGTTCTCCAAGAATGCTGCAGATACCGGCCAGAGCATTACCAATGCAGTGGCGCTAAAAAGTCCAGCTAAAACTTTTCACCACGGGACTGCAAACTTGAGCATACCACGTAGCTCATTTCTGACCAGGGCTACCATTACAAACAATCATGCTGTTATTCACCTCTGATATTCTACCTACCTTCAATTCAAAGTATCACATTCTTCACTGCAAGGTACCTAATGCAGATCATTACTTCATGCAGTTCCTAGACCATTTATTCACCTTTTTCTGATTCAGAATAAAAGAGCGTGAGCAACAGGCAGATCTGGCCAAACAGGAAAAAAAAAGAGAAGAGGAAGAAATACAGAGATCGATCCAACTGTACCAACTGGAAATTCAGAGACAAAAAGAAAAGGAACACAAGGAAAAAATTGAACGCCGGAAGCTGTATCATGTAAGAAGCAGGAAAGCAAATAGTTCAAAGAGTGTATTTCACTTTGGCTTTAATGGTTGGACTCAGCTCACAAATAAAAGGGTCTGCTGGCAACAGTCTTTGCTGACAATCTTAGTCGACTGCGATCAAATGTCTACCCTGCCAGTTGCAGGCCAGGTCTTTCCCCTGAGCTTTTGAGAAAGACCTCTTGGAGGCTTCTCCCTTCTGTCGTCCAGAAGGACGTTGGCATTTGATGCTTTGACTGGTCTGTAGTTAAAGATTTGGCTGTAAACATCAAGGAATATCTCCTTGACTTGAGAACAGGATTTAAATTTCACATTCCTGCTGTTTTAAGCCCATTTTTCTTTGTTAGAAAGAGGGACTATATAGAGACTGAATGCATCTTTTAAATTTGACTTGATATTTATGATTGGAGAGATTTAGGAATTTAGTCAAGACTTGCTGCCATCTCATTTCATGTTTAAAGGCATCCTACTAAGATACAAACAAGAAGTGCCTCCGAGCAGTTCTGGCCAGCATGCAAAAGAAAGGGTTTTTTTACATAAAAGTATAGAAAACTCCTTTTCTGCTGTGTTTTGGATTAAACTCTTAGACAGGGATAGTTTTGGATGAGGTGGGGCCAGGAACAGAATGATCTGTGTGGGTGGGTGGTGGTTGGACCGTCCCCCTCGCCAATGCGCGTCATTGGGAGCACGGCACAGTGCTCTCTGCATTGCACAGCAATTTGTTTGTGCAATGCACTGGTGAAGCAGCTCTTTGATGCTCAATTAATTCCTTTTTCCCAACCTTACATCCACTATCTCCTCTTGATGCATGTTTGAATAGGGAGGCAGAAGTGGAAGTATCCCTTTCCTGTCTTCTCTCTCCTTTCCTGAGAATCCTTTCTCTTTTCTGTTTTTGAAAGAAACTTGAGAAGGGGGAAGAGGGAGTGATTCCTGTAAGCTGCTACCCCAGGTCTAGATATTCCAAATATCATCTGTTACATCAGGACCATTTTTCCCATACAGGAGTATGTAAATGACCAAAAAATAATCAAAGCAATAGAGGAACAAAACCAAATGGAAGAAGATGATCGGATCAAAGCTCATTTTAAAGCAAAGGAAATTATTGCCCAGATGAGAAAAAAGAAAGAAGCTGAAATGCGTAGGTAGGTACAGTGCTAAAGTATAAATTGTAAATAATCTAAAATGCTACTGTAGTTGTTTTCAGATCATTTAGACTAATGACAGAACACAATCAACAGTTATTCTAAAACATTATTCTAAATCCTACTCATAAGAAGACCAGGGAATTCAGGAGAAAAGGGAAACTATTTACAGGTTCCTTAGTATGAGTGTGAGGGAGCAATCTCTCCACCCTTCAAAGTACAGAGGCTTATGAAAGTGCAAAGCTTTGCACCTAGTGTATCGTGAAGAGTGATTTTCCATATGTCCTGCCAAATCTCCATCTCCACAACAATTAAAGACAATTAAGTTCCTTGATGAAAATATTTTTGAGTATAAGCTATATTTGTCTGAGTCAGTTCAAGAAAAATGATTTGACTTCTTAACAAGGCACATACATTAATTAACAACATGTTCATATTAAGAAGAGATGTTTTATCAATTTAACATTGAGAATACAGCATGATGATACCACTGAGTCAATCTAGGTTTTCTTCCCTTCCTGCTTCTGGCCAATACTTCCAACATTCCTCTCCTGATGGCAAGATGCTCACTGGAATCCTTACTGAGTTGGATTATTGCCATATTATTGTTATGCTCATTACTGCAACAGAAACCAGTGATACAAGAACACTATTTGCTAAATCAGATAACATAAAAATAAACCAAACAGGAGGAATAGAAGAGTTGGGTGGGTGGGCCAGCCTGTGTGGTCAAGAGCAGAGAAATCTAGAAGCGTAATTGCTGAGTTTAGTATCCTCAGGTAGACTAGGTATATTGCCCTGTTATGTTATGGCAGCTCATGTTCTTCTGCAGAGAAGCACAGGAAAAACAGGACAAAATCGTTAGTCGATTAGCTGAACAAATGATTGAGGCACTAAAGAAGGATGATGGTCGACTGGCTAGAGATGCTGCAAGAATAGAAGCTGAAGAAGAAAAGAAACGCAAAGAGAAGGAAGCAAAACAAAAGGCTGCCATTGAATCTATTGCTGAACATAGAGCCACTGTGGTAAGAAACTTGGGCCAGCTTACTCCAGCAGAGTAACACAGTTTGTGACTCTGGTCACCACTCTAGTCTGGACTTCAGCAAGTCTGCTGACATCTTTCCTGGAGTCCCCTCTCTGTTTCCCCCTTCTGTGTTGGGTGCACATGTGCCAGGGCTGCTGAAAGCCCTGGGCTTGGACACAGGCCAGCCACAGTGACCGTGCTTATCAGAGTGCTGATACAGGGCTGCTCCTGCAGAGAGATACAACTTCCAGCTTAGCAGGCCAGCTCCTCAGTTAACTTTTGTGTGTTTTGTAAACTACAGATGAAGTTGAAAGAGGAAAAGGAGAGACAGGAGAAAGAAGAGGCTATAAAAGAACGTGATAAGTTAATGGAAAAAGCCCGCATCCACCTGGAAATGGAAAACAACAAAAAACATGGACGACATGAGGCAAACAGAGAAGTACAGAAAATTCAGCTCCAACAAATAGTAAGTAGAAAAGCTGTATCCTGTCACTCCCTTCAGAAAGAAGGCTGCATCTAAACCAATAGATCCTACTGAGATAAAAAGAGGAAGTTTGCTGTTTTGTTTGGATTTTTTTTTTGTTAGGTTCTTTTTAATCATGCGTGCTTGGCATATGCTGGTGTTGGGGACCAGCTTCCTCTGAGCATTGGTGCAAATCAAGGGTAGTTTGTAAGAGCAGATCAGATCCTATCCTGTGCCATTATAACATTTTTTTGACCATGCACTGCTGTCCTCCTGTATCTTCCAGCTATTTAATGTACCCTTTCTGGAGGGATAGGGCAGGGGAGAGAAGTGGGGAGGGATGATAAGTGTCAAGTATCAACTAAGGATGCCTTAGACCTTCTGTAAGCTTTTACCCTCTCTGTTTCACAGGATGGTGACGTTGAGAACAAAATACTAAGCTTTGTTATTCCCTTTTCTTCACCAGGCTGAAAAGCAGGCAAGAAAAGAGCAGGAGAAACAGGCAGAATTGGACTACTATGCTCAGACAGAGGCTATTGCACTTTCTAAAGAGCATGAGTTTCAGAAATATGCAAAGGAACTAATTGAAACAGAGTCCAAGACTACACATCATCTTTATCCTCTTCTCAAAGCATGCAAATATGGAAGAGAACGTGGACATGGGCCATTTTTCTGAGAAAAGAATAAATAAATACTAGTTTCCAAACATATAATTCTATGTTGGGACCCAATTACCTTGTTGTAGCTGTAATGCTGCTCAAGAAACAAAACCATGAAATTACGTTTGAACTATACACCAAGGAAAGGCAGAAGCCATTTTCAAGTTTAATAAATATGCTTTTCAACCTTACAGGCAGAGTTCAACTGTAAATTATTTATATTAAATATATACCATGAATCTGGACTTCAATTTGAAAAATATTAAAGATTGCCATATAACTGGTTTTATTCTCAAAAATCCCCAGCTTGTATTTCATGAATGTTAGTTTATTAAACTTGAGACAGGAATTAATATTACATAATTGACTGTCACTGTAACCCATTCCAGCCAAAAGCTCACTATTTCTGTTATATTTTTAATATTGTTCTAAAAATTCACTGTCCCAGGTTTTTCAGGTCTGCAATAAGAATTCTCAGGGCAAAAAGTCACATTCTTCACTAGCATACTTACAGTTAATTATTCCCCATAATAGAAAAGACCAAACTGAAATAACTACAGGGGACAAAGAAAAGAGAATATATGTGAAAGTTAGAACAGTTAGGGTGTGCAGTTTTGGCAGCAATTTGCAACTATGTCTGAAAAACAAATGTCATGCTATAAATCAGTTTGATTACATGAAAATATTAATGTGCTTTGATCCCAGCCCTTAAAAGGTCACCAAAGAGGCAAACGGTCCCAATAAAGCTGTAAATAGGGCCTGCAAAATCAGCACATCAACTAGAGACAACATAGTTGGGCTGTTCTTTTAAAAACACTTATCAGCAATTCAGTCTGTAAATAAATGTAATCTATTAAATAGATGCAATCTAAAATTGTATCTCAGATTCCTCAGCAGATTTACTCACCTACACCCAAGCCACTGACACGTCTCCCTCCTTAAGCTTAGGTTTCTTTGGTGAAATGTTAACATCATTTCCTTGCCTTGGAAGTTAGGGGTTCCTGTAATGACTTCCTGCACCAGTACCCCAGGCTTTGAACAGGGTATCACTCTATCCTGGTGTCCACTGGAAACAAAGTCCAAGAAACCTGAAGCTTTGCTTTGTTGCACCCCACATCTGCCAGTCTCTGCTGGCCAGACCAGAAAATAATACAAGTCCTTTTAAAAAAATAAAAGGATGCTTGCCAATATTTCAGTTTTGAAAGTAGGTCTTCAGTGTGTCCTCAAGTTCCTTGGCCTAGCTGCCGAAAGCAGCCAGGCCTTGGAGAAAGCACAGGGCTTCTAGGAAGATGTGAGGCTACCAGGGAGGCAAGGTACCTCTAGGAAGCTGAGGGCCAAACAGATCTGGCTTTACCTCCCCTACACTGTAAAAACTCTGCGCGTAAGGTGGGTGCTGTCCTTCCCGGGTGCAGCAGTCACCTCCTCGAGGAGTCTTATCCAGGCAAGGCAAGGGGTCAATTCCTGGAAAGAGAAGGAGGCCCGACCTCCTCATCCAGCTCCCAGGGCCGCCGAGGGCTCTGGGCCCCAGCAACAGGCAGGCCTGGCGGGGCAAAGGCTCTTGCGAGGCGCAGCAGCGCACGGAGCCAGGCCGAGCTGCACGGCCCCGGCGAACCGGCGGGAGCAGAAGGACAGAGGCGGAGGGGCCATTTCAGCCTCTTACCAGGTACAGGCGCGCCAAGGGGAAACGACAAGTTCAGGAACCGGCTGCGGAGGAGGGTCCGGCCTCCGGGAGGTGGCTTCCTTCCTTCCTTCGCTCCGTGTGGGACGGACCGGACGTCGCAGCTCCCCGGGGCGG